GCTGATCGTCACTGCAGATCCTTACAGTCCCTTGAAACGCATACAACTAATCAAGAAAACGTTGATTACTGAAAGAGCGAGATGCATTGTGGGTCTTTCTATCACTAGTTCACAAACGAGCTTTCATGGTTTCAAAGTGCTGTGCCAGGTCCGTGTTGTGGTCAAGAATTTCCAAGGAAAGCAATCAAAATTTAAACTTAAATTTAAACTTAAGGAATTGAAAAGGTCTAATCTGGGACGAAACTAGTTTTCCTTAAAACAAAGTTTCTTGGCGTGACTGTGTGCTAAAGASTTCACGTATTGGGTTTAATCCTGTCCAGCATTATGAAATTGAAAAAGTCTTTAGATGTTCGAATTTTACAAATATCAAATAATTAAAATTTGAATTGGCATTTTGTAACGCAGAAAACTCGAAGTTTACTAAATCTCTTAATGGCCTGAGTCACGTGCAGTCCTCGACTGCCTAATTTATTATTATTATTATTATAATGATCTTTTATGCTGAGCCCAAAAAACTATTAATTTATCAGCATAAACTACATATCTACAATTCTTTTTATTAATTCTATGATTTTATTTTTTCCATAGTTTCTAAAAGATTTCTGTCTATCATAAAAGCCGATCTAACAAATCTGTTTAAAGAAAAAAACATTTTACTACAATTCATCACTGAATCACTCTATAATACATAAATATATAAAAATGCCAGGCAATATGCCATTCTTAAATACAATGCATAATGGGAAAACGTAATTCTTGATTTTTTAAGAACGCAAAAATAATCTTTCTGATTTGAACTCACAGAATGAGCAACTTGCATTTTTGCATAAAAAATACACAAACTTAAAGGGACACTGTCAATGGCACGCATGCGCGAGTAAACTTGAAAAAACTAGGCTAATGTTTTCATGTTTATGACTCCAAGTTGCGCGACATAAATAAGCTCGTAAACGTAAACACATCTAGAATATTCCAAAGTGTGTCAAAAGCACCACAAAATGATTTACCTCGAAGGTAATACTTTCAAAGTCCGTTAGAGGTGAGACTGTTACTGCGCATGTCATCCATTGACAGTGTMCCTTTAAGTATTCAATTTTATTTCATTCTATTGTCGTTTCGTAATAAAACAAAGCTWATTGTCGTATTCCCATCATGCTTTGCTGTCGAAATTSACTTCACTAAACYGATGGCTTATATYGTGGAACCWTTTACAATACGAATAATTATTGATCTAAGCGCGCTTTTCTATATTTAGTGCTGTCTACAGTWAAGTCTTAAGAACACGGCCAGCGGTGATTTGTTCTAGTTTAATGCATTGTGGGAATTATTTTATGTCTGATAAATTAATCCCAAAAAGTCTGAATTGTTTTTAAATCTGGAGTTTTTAAAGCACAACGCCGTAGTTTCCCAACATGCATTGTTCTACAAAATGGCGTCAGTGTGCTGTTTTTAGATACCGCTGGCTGGTTTGATAAAAGGCGCGCATCTCTACGAACTTCTAAATCACGTGGTTTTAGCTGTCATGGTGATTTATGTAAAAAGTAATGTTTTATTTGCCTAACATCCAGAAAAACCTGATAYAATATCCTGATACAAGAAGGTCTATTTTGCGCTACAGTTTTGTCCCTCTCTAACCTACAAGCTGTTAAATATACTTAAATATATTTGTGCTATGCTTTATTATTAATAAAGAACTATAAATAAGCTATGTAAATAACTTTTTGGATGCGATAATCRATAAATATTTTATACCTAAAATATCTAAAACAGCCCGTCAAGTTTTCAAGCAAAAATCAAAGATGGCGGATCGACTTGGTGATGTCTTTGTTGTAGCAGTTTGATAGGTAAACTAGTTTAATTGGTGGCTGTTTTCTTTTTTAAATAAAGTATACCTATTGTGTGATCCAAGCACAAGAACTTTTAAAGCCAAAGCCAAAGCCAGTACAAACAATACAATTTGTATGTTTTTAAGTCTGCATTCTTATATTCTTAATGGCGTTTAGCTCTCCACCTAAAGCAGCTTTTTAGGCCTCTACAACTTTAACCTATGTTAGTTTAAATCAGGAAGTTTGTTCACCCTCAATTTAATTAATAAATCCACATATGAATAAATGCAGCTTTGAGCTTGAGGTTGCCTACGCACTCTATATGCCATACATATCTTAAAGTCATTAGTTATTAAAATTTGCGGCAAGATCTGAATCTAGAAAAACACGTATGACGTTTCCTTGCTCACTATGACGACTAAGCATTTTGCTGCGAAAAAAAATTTCAAAAAAAATCAAGTCGTTTGACTTTCTTAATTATATATCTGCATTTTTAGATAAATATTTTTTCCCCAAATTTTAGGCACTTTTGGGAGATTTTTATCGTTTTGAACATTTAAGTTCATTTCTGTCAGCTAACATGATTTGCTTTCGTCATAATGAATAAGGGTTATCACTTTATATAAATAATTATTCACTGACTTCTAATATCGTTCAACGACTCGCACTTGAAATGGTTTTGGAAAGTGATTCATGCCAACCTCACCTACTAAGTCAGGCAGTGGTGACCCAACTGGATTTGTGAACGTAAACTCGTGAAGAAGCCTCGAAGCAACAAGAAAAATTTCTTTCTTTGCAAGCACTTCTCCGCTACAGACTCTTCTACCAGCGCTGAAAGGAAGATAACTCTTTACACCTGCGACATCAATGATCTTGCCTTCGCTATCAAGGAATCGATTTGGATTGAATTCGGAAGGTCTGTCCCACTCTCTCTCATCATGGTGAATCGCATATACRTTGAAGATGGTGACAGTTCCCTCTGGGATAAAATATCCATTCAGCGACGAATCACATGTCGCTTTGTGAGGTAAGCTCAAGTGCGTGACAGTGCAGAATCGGTGAGTTTCAGTGATGACAGCTTGAAGGTAGTGCAGTTTTTCTCTATCATGAAGCCCAGGCAACCTTTCCCGACCAACTACCCTGTCAATTTCTGCTTGTACTTTGGTTTGGACATCTGGGAAGTTGACCAGGCATGCTATAAGCCAKCGAATGGTAGTGATAACAGTTTCAGACCCAGCAGAAAACACGTCGTTGATTGTCATAATTAAATGGTCGTCGGTGAAGAAAATGTCATCTTCCCCTTGGATGTCTTCTTGTGCTTTGAGAAGAGCGTCTGCAAAGTCCCGTATGACCTCGCTGTTGTATGTTTTCTTATGTTGCAGGAACTTTGTGTCCAATATGGCTGCTTGCTTCTCTCGTACCCAGTAAAAATCACGYGACGTCTGCGTGGGAATAGACAGTAACCATGGAAATGTGTTGTAGATGGAGACAGGTTTCATAAGACGAAAGCCAACTTTGTTGAACTTGACGATCTCCAAGAATTCTGGGTCATCCATGGAGTAGCTTTGTCCCAACACCATCTTGCAGATTACGTTTAGAATAGCAAGGAAGAGATCATTTTTCGGATCAATTGGATTTCCATTAGCAGCCTTAAATCGCTTGGAAAGCTCGTGGATTTCATTGGTAAGGTTGTCTTCAACATAAGGCATGTAAAGTCGCAGAGCTCTATGCACCAACTTGCGCTGGTAGATCAACGTTGGTGAAAAGTCTCCCATCGCAAGATCCTTTGCGCCACGTGTGAAGAAATCACCCACAAAGGATTGCGGTCGTCCGGAGAAGTCATCCTTGCGCATGAGTAAAGCTTCTCGAGCAATTGACGCTGTGTTGATCACGACCACAGTGTCACCTTGAAGATGCAGCGTAAAAATATCCCCATACTTCTTTGCGAGCTTCATAAATCCAAGGTGCACATCGGGCATGAAAGGGGCAATATCCAGCAGGTTGCCTAGTAGAGGAAGCGGTTTGGGTCCTGGAGGTAGATTTTGTGGTTTTTTGAAGCGAATCATCGCGACAACGACCAGAGACACCGCGGCCACAACAAGAACACTTTCTAAAAGCATTGCTCGACAATTCTGTCAAAACAAAATTAGATGTTACACTTTTAATTAGTGATTTTGGTAGTATTATCGATCCAACAATTATTGTTCCAAAACTCTTTTTTTCATAGAATTGTGAAAAAACAAGTACAATTTCTGACTAAGCATTGATCAGAAAACCCTACAAAAAATGGAATTGTACTTCCTTAAATGAATTTATTGATTTATGTTATCTACACCAATTTTTGGAAGCATTTGTTAAGGAACCCTTGGAGTACGACTTATATACTATATGTAATTCTTTTCTCATGCATGATTTCAAACAATTCCCAATCATAACGAAAGAGTAATGAAGTTAAATTTTTTTCGAAAAAAATATACTTTTGATCGTTTACAAGTTAAGACAATATTCGTACAGTTTTGTAAAATCGCCGTCACTATAAGCTTTGTGAAATAAGTGAGTCTTAGAGCAAAGGCCAAATTATATGCATTACCGCAAAGTGAGCGCGCACTTTCAAATGGAGAGGACTTCGCATTAATAAAATAAGCTTTATAAAGAAAACATGCAAGCTAAAAGTAAGAAGTTAGTCAGCATCTTTGTTATGATTCTGTTGCGAACAGTAGTATTTACGAAATACAATTTTTTAACAAGAACACGCTTAAGAGCAACATGAGACGCCGAATCTATCCTTTCTTGGTAAATATGTTAAAACGTGAAATCGGCAATGTGAATTTTTAAACTTTTTAAAAAATCCTGTTTTTTTCTTCTCGCTGTTAACACCCTAATGTAATCTTTTTGTTATGCTTACAGGATTATATTTGGTTCAAAAACAAGTAAAATTCAAATGAAAACTTTTGGCTTTTCTTGTATCTACACAAAGCCACGGAGTCTACAACTTGTTTTGTTCAGTTGAAGCTGGTGAAGTAAATTTTCAAGCAAAACTGCTTTAGTCTCTGTAATGCATTTAGCCATAGCAAGTGCTTTAATTTAGCTTTTATATCTTGACTTTTTAAGGAAACGAGGAAATCATCTCGGCTTGTGGACGATAACGCGACAACAAAGAGAGTCGCGCGATGTGTTAATGTTAAGTTTTTCGCTTATTAAGATAAAACTCGAGAATTAGACGCTTCTGTATTACTATTAACAAATCTAAGAGCCCTTAACTAGGATATATTTTGGGGTATATTTTAATTTGAATTATTAACAATGCTTTCAAGTGAGCTATTTACGTTGTGAAAACAAATTTAACCATTCAGTATTCGCGAGCTTTTCTTAAGGGAATCTTCCTACTTTTTTCAGCCAAACCTTTAGAAGAGCTTTACATCTTTCATAACCAAACTAGACTTTTCAGTTTCAACATTGGTGTTCATTAAAGGGAAATATAGTTAAGGTTTTGTAATAACGTCAAAAAGAGCATCGCCACGACACTGAGCCTTCATTATGAAATTTTCTTTCGAGATCTGAACTGGATTCTTGTTCCCTAATGTGGATTAAGCAGGAACTTTACAAGGACGCTCGAATTTCGCATCTATGGGAGGACAGGCTAACGATAGCAAAAAGCGTTACCTTATGCTCTAGTGTGATCCAAGGATGATCCTGCAGCTACTTTAGCATTAAAACAGCTACCAGCATTCCCCTTTGCGCGAAGCAGCTTTCAAAGCGGACCAACAAAAAGTACGCATGTTAACAGCGTGTAAAGAAATTGCCTCTATGCTTCAAAGCTAATCCCTAACCCTAGCATTGCCCTTTGTTTTTCAAACAAACAATCAAACACGGCACACCTAATGCCCTCGTTTCTGTTGTCCAGCGGATCGTCCGTAGGGCCATATGTGTGGTGTGACCGTTAACGCTTTTCCACACATCTGCACCTGATGTAGACAACTCCACACGTGGTTGACGATCATGTAACTTAAGTATATCTATATCGAACCAGTCGAAATGTCTCGTGTTGTGAATATTGAGTTGACAGGACCAAACTACATGACATGGTGCCTTCTCAGGCTTACTTGCCATCAAAATGGCGGATGCGAACCGCAAGAGTTGCTCTCGAAAATATTCTACAGGTTGGGGACGATCGAGCGTGCAATAATAACTCATTGCTCGATGGATTTTGAAAACTGAGTTATTGGAACTAATTATATATGCAGAACTTCTATGAACGGAGCTGTTAAACTAGGGAAAGCATGTTAAAAATGCTGAAAAGAAAACTATAGCGGATGATAATGATGATGATGGTGGTGATATGTACAGGCTCGTGACATCGTATATGTGAAGGAATCAATGTGATCAGTGTTATTTTGAGAACAAAGAAAAGTATTTTTGCTTTGGGATCGGAATTACTCAATTTTGATTTGGAGGAATCACGGGTCAAATCGGAAAAAAAATATTTAGAGTGAGGGACTTACCGTAAATGTTGGTCTCGCCTCAAAGATTGAATCGTGTGCAATTAAAACAATATACCATATAATGAGCCTGTGATTTGATAACGATGTTGATGATGATAATTATTAAGATAATAATAATAATGATGGCGATGATGTTCATCAGTGATCGATCTGTTTTTGAATGTAGAGACACTTTTATGCCATTGACTCATGTTTTTCCATATTGTCTTCGACTTTATTGAAGGCATTTCCTGCCATATGCAAAAACAAACGCAATCGCCTCGTCAGAGTGCAGCAAAATCGTTGAAAATATAGCAAATGTATCAAAGAAACCTAAAGAAACTAGACTGAAATTTTTGAAACGTCAGTTACTTTTTTACGGTGTTAAAATATATCTTTTTGCACAACTGTTTCTTAGGAAAGATCGACACAGCTCATAGTTAACCGCTAGTTTCCATCATTTTGGACTAAAATTGTCAACAGTCTTGCACCTGATATGAAAAATAACTTGCGCGAAAAATTTGCTTTGTCGCTCAAGAACTATACAGTCAACTCTCGCGTTACCGACACCCTGCTATTACGAGCACCTCAATTTACGGATACGAAATACTATTCCTGGCGAAAAATACAAACTAAGAAATAACTGAAAGTAACTCCCGTTAGTACGGACTCTTGCTACTGCGTAGTAGCGAGATTGACTGTAACGCGCGCAAATAGAGGCACGCGGAAACCGCATTTAACTAAGGATAAGTCTATATTTAATCACAACAGGTGTGCGCGCTTTATCATGGAAGTAATGTTCAATGTAGGAGGTAAAGTAGTTCTTTCCTTTAGCTTTATCGACCACAAGTTTTACCCTCTTTTGTCCGCCATTATTGTTGTGGTTTCAACGAGTACATCTACTTAGTCTCACTGCTTGCAAGATGGCAAACAACGCGACAAACTTCAACTAATTAATGCTCTACTTTTAAATAAAGGCTCTTTGAGAAACGTGTGAAAAGAGTGCGAAAACAAGTGCTATTTTCTATACGTATTCGGCTTTGGTTTAATTTTCATAAGTCATATTAAACTGACTTGAATTTAAGGTGGCGCACAAAACGTTGCTCCTATGGCGGACTTCAAGAGTAAAAGATGTGTGTAAATTAAATATATAGTTTAGCAGCACAAACACCAAAGCAATGGAACCAATGCAATGGAAACGAAGAAGTTCAGTGGTCAACCAACGGATAGCAAACCTCAGAAACATCGGAAATTTTTCTATCTTTGTATTCTTGGCGGTGTATTAATAATTTTCATTAGCGTACAGCACCTTGCCACAGCGTGTAACGATCACTAACTAGATATATTTCAATAAAGAAAAAAAAATATTACTCTTGACTTCTTAATCCACTCTTAACATTTTTTTAAAATTCTTTTTTTATATTGTATATTGTGCGAGTGATATAATATTTATACATGTGCCGCGGAAAGTTAGAAACTTAGAGAAAAATTATGAATAAAAATCAACATTCCTTGTCAAGTTGTCAAATAGCAACCAAACCTTTTTCATTTGAATTGCTTTCTAGACGACCAATTCAAAAGGATGACAGCACAAGAAATGAAAGGCTCAGATGGCTTGTCAAGCTTGCAAGCATTTCTAGTGACGTCCGACCGCGTCTACTCAAAMAAACTATGCAAATAAGAACTCCTTGGTAATAATAAGTGCTCGATCAGTTCTAAATCCGCGACAAATATTACAGCTCTATTGCAACTCTACAACTCGAGCATATTTCACAGTTACTCCAACAACGACTGGCTTACTTAACTTTTATGTAGCAAGTGTAAAAGGTTTTGAAGTACAACTTTTAGTAAGTCAATAAAAAATATCGCATTAAAAATCAAATGCATGATAAAAAGTGCACAATGCTGATAGATTTTATACTACATGGAAAAGGTCGAGCAGGCCGTATGTATAGCAAAGACTTGAATAAGTATTATTGAGTCCTTAAACTTAATTAAAATTGTAAACATATAAGTGTTTTACTATAAATATTTCCAATACTTTTTGCATTATTCCGCCATTTTGGAGAAGTCAGATTTCTAGTGAAAATGAAAATAATGTTTTGATACTTTGTTATTATTGTTATCCTGGTAACTCACCTTAGTAATAAAATTCTTTTAATGATATGTTAAGCCTGGTACATAAAAGAATCGAAGTAAGTGAAGTATTTCAGATAATTGTTACTCATGWAACGCTATAAACCCTCTCCTGAAGTCATGACATGGTTAGGCAGTTCTTGAAGTTAAGAATCTGGAACGGGGACTGAGGAGTCCAGTCACAATCATGATAAATATCAGTGCCGATAGCTAATTATCAGATAATACAGAGAAACATAAACAGATCTGGCAGACAAAAATAAGAAATTCAAGAAACTAATATMTTTGACCTAAAAACATTTTATCTTTGCATAATGACGTCAGGTGTGGGATGTTCGGTGCGAGGTGCACTATGGGGTAGAAGTCTGGTTAACAAACGTACATACACGTTATAGGCTGTTCACTTTATGAACAACTAGCACTAGTTAATTACCAGATATTCCTTTGTACTCTAGCTAATTTGCAGCACTCTTATATAATACTTTTTCCGCGAGCATTCACCATTCTCGACAGGGGATCTTGGGGGATAACGTCTACAAGGAAATTTCGTTCTCCGGTATTGGTAATACACCCGCCATCTTGAAACTTTTATCAATACCATAATGCATTTCGCCCAGACAAACATGACGCCATCATTATTGGCGTCATCTTTTATTTTAAATATCAGAATCAAGTGAAATAATGGTAGCACCTTTTACAAGATTGTCACGGTCATGTGGGGCAATATATATATTTTTGGGATAGGGTACATAGATTAGTATCAATATAGTCTTCTATTAACTAGTGCAGCACGGATGGTTCTGCGAGAATGTCATCATGGTCACGTGGTTCACCTATCTTTAACACATACTTTGAACGGCTTGGCTACATGGACGAGTCCCATGTCACCTACCATCTCGGGCGGCGCAGAGCCTTCTGGGAGCTCAAAACAGAATCGYTGMATCAATCTCGACAAAACGATAAACAGTTCCTGCTTGACCAATGCTTCACCAATACAAGAACGACGGCCGGCACTGAAAGGAAGAAAGCTCTTGTCACGTGCTCCTGTGGTAAACGTCCCCTCGTCGTCAAGGAAACGCGTAGGGTCAAACACGTGAGGTTGGTCCCATTCTTTTTCGTCGTAATGCATAGCCCATATATTGAACAGCAAGGTGGTTCCCTTGGGAATCTTGTATCCTGCCAAAGTGGAGTCAATGACGGCTTTGTGAGGAACAGACAAAGGCGCTGCTGCTGACATGCGCAGTGTTTCGGCAATGGAAGCTTGGATGTARTTGAGCCTYGCTTTATCTTCTAAMCGAGGTATGACGTAACGGCCTATGACTTCATCAAGCTCCTCGTGGATTTTCTTCTGTACTTGGGGGTAGTTGATCATGTACACGATGAACCAACGAATTGTCGTCATTGCGGTTTCCAGTCCTCCTGAGAATACGTCGGCCATTGTCATAATGACGTAATCCTCGGTGGCAACAGTGTTTATGACTTCACTGTCTACTAGTTGCTCTTCGTCTARGGCTTTGATTAGAGCGTCAGTGAGGTCACGGATCACGCCATCTTGGTAAGTAGCTTGATGTTCGTGCAGTTTGGTTTCTAAGAGAAGGTCACGTTGGTCACGCACCTGTTTAATCCTTTTGGAATCTTTCATCGGGAAATGAACGAGGAATGGAAACACGTTTAGCACGTGGATGGGCGYCAAAAGAGAAAACATCACCTTGTTGTAGTCTGCTATCATCAAAAATTCAGGGTCGTCGATCTTGTAYCGGCCACCGTACACCATATCACAAATRATGTTCAATGTGGTCAGGAAAACGTCATGTTCAAGATCTGTAGGCTTCCCTCCATAAGAACTGAGGCGTTTACACATTTCGTCGGCCTCGCGAATAAACGTTCCCTCAAGGAACGGGCCATACGTCCTCATAGCAGAATGGACTATCTTTCKCTGTCGTATCAACGTAGGRCTTAAGTCACCATTTGCGATGTCTTTGCCTCCGCGACAAAGGTAGTCCCATGTGAATTTRTAGGGTCTKCCWGCGAAGTCGTCTTTGCGAGTGAGGAGAGCCTCCCTCGCAATGGAATGAGAGTTGATGACAACGGTCCTCTCACCTGGGACCTCGAAYGTGAATACACTGCCATATTTTTTAGATTCTTTGGCAAGTTCGATCTGGATCTGATTATTGGACATCCACCTTGAAACGTCAAGCATATTTCCTATGATGGGCAGCGGTTTGGGYCCTGGAGGCATGCCCTCTGGACGTCTCTTGAAGAGAGAAAATAGCAAGAAAAACACCAATGTGCATACTGCGATTTCCACCAACATAGTGTCCACGTGACCTGCGTATGAAAAACAGAAACATTCCGTGAATGTCTGAAGCTAACACCTATCTAAGGGACTGCGCAAAATTTTTTTACAAAATCCAGAGGGAGGGGGCAAAATCTAATTTTATGTGCTTAAAGAGGGGGCAACGTCATTAAAATTAACTAGGACTTTAATTTAATTGGAAACTGAAAAATCAACGGTCTCAGATTCTGTCCCTCAAAACTGTTCAAAAAAGTTGAACTTTTTTGAGGTAATTTTTGTGGTATTTAACGATTTTTTCCTTTACGTTTTCTGAGAACCAGACTGTTATTGTGGTGAAAAAGAGCGATTCCGACACAAAAAAACGAAAAATTCGAGACTTTCGGTAAAGTTCAGGCTAATAACGAGGTCTTGGGATCAGGRATCAGCGTCATTTTTTGGACTATTTTGGGATCAGGCATCAGGATCTAGGCCAAGGATCCGGATCAAATGGATTTAACCTGGGATCAAAGGTTTTTCAACTGGGATCGGGATCAATGATAATTTTAAACGATTCTGTAAGGGGATCAGGGCTCAAAATGTACAGAGTTTTGGGATCGGGATCACGTTTTTAGGCCGTTTTGATCCGGATCAACAGCAAAAAAATATACCTCGTTACTAGCCTGAAAGTTTGCGTATTTTGCAAATATATATTTATATTTCATGACCAGTGACGTCAAACGAATGACGACACAGAAATGTGCACATATTTTTAGTACCAGTCCCTTGATAAACCATATACTTTTTCAATTGATCAATTAGCTTAATCATTTCGCACCATTTTACATGGCTTAAGGTTTTGAAATAGAATTTCAACGTACTAGCTAGGGTCATAAGGTCGAGGAAGCCCACCACAAGACAACATCGTTTGGCTTTTATCGGATCGGAATGATCAGATCCCTTTGCACTGTTTCCAGCATTTGTTTGAATGCACACGCAAAACTCTTATGAACTAATTCTGATTTCTTTTACGTACAATTTTGAGGAAAGTACATGTATGTTTTGTTACTTTACTAAAGAATTTATGCATTATTGCCTTCACGGTCACGCTTCATAAACCTAATAAATCGATCTCAAGACGGCTGGTTACTTTATACGCTTCCTAGGATGGCTAGAGTRCGACCAACAAATTATTTCGAACAATACGTTCTATCTATGCTTACCTTCAAAGACAAAATGGCTATCGGTTTCTAACGAACTTTTCTAGTGTTTGCCTCGGTCTATTTGACTTGAAAGTCAAATGGTGACGCAACAAAGCTATTTTTAAATAACTTTGTTTRATTAAAATTAATTGATTGGATGTATGGACTTTGGACTATGGATGATGAATATGATTCAAAATGTTTTATATAGAAACCCTAACTTATTTTCATCTCACACTTTAAAAGACACAAGTTTCCCCAGACCRAATGTCGAATATATGACGCGAATGGTAAATAGAAAAGCAAAGAAAAAGAAATTTTAGTGGAAGAAAGTTCGCCGCAGACATTCTGTACAGCTGAGGCGTCGAATCGACTACATTCCAGACTTCGGCTCTTCCATGCTATCCCGATAATTGGACCTAACGTCGCGCTATACAAGGCCAGTGAGGGAGAAGCTTATCGGTCCCTAGACCATATATTATTATAATGATTAAACCCTGCGCTAACTGGGCCACTATCGAAAACTATGATAATCTAAAAGACGCTATGKCAAAATGGCTACCGTATATGAGCGGTGGTGGCGAATTAAATAACACATTCGAGGTTYCTCTATAATATAGTGGAAGTAAGAAAAAATAGAGATAAAAACTAATTTAGTAAAATAGCTCTGTAAAATAAATAAAATAAATAAAAGCAAAATAAATCTCTAGTTTATATACAATGTAGAACTTTTTTACTTCTTACATAGCCGAGTACTATACATGGAGGCCATCGGGTGYTCTACTGAAGACCGCGGGGGAAAACTATCGCTAAAAAGTTATAATATGACTCGATTTAGGTTGCTAATTAAAATATAATAGTCTTCATCCCTACTAAGTGACTGTTTTGGGGATTTTTTTGATTTGAAAACTGCTGCTTTGAGCGCCTACCCGGAACGCTCATCCACTTCGAAAAATAACATTGATTGACAAGAGACGTTAAATATTGATATAAAAAATAACATAGATGCAATTAATCATTTTATGAATATGACCCTTAAAATGTACAAAACAAATCCCAAAAATACTATCTAAGCAATTTAAAAAAAGATGTCGATTCATATTATAACGTTCTATGGCGAGCACCTTTGGTTTCTTGTCACGACTAATTAGCGTGACGCTCGACTCCCGCTCAATTAATGTCTTCGATGACTAAATGAGCGGGAGTTTTCAATCGCACAAGAAAAATCGCAAAAATAGTATCTTAAGTAAAAGGAAATGCCTTTAATAACTTTATTAGCAATCTAAAAAAAGATGTCGATTCATATTTTAACGTTCTATTTCGAGCACCTTTGGTTTCTTGTCACACTTAGCGTGACGCTCGACTCCCGCTCGGTCTTCGATGCACTTAATGAGCGGGAGTTTTCAAACGTACATGAAAAATCCCCAAAATAATATCTAAGTAAAGAAAGACCTTTTATAACTTTATTAGCAATCTTAAAAAAAGATTCA